TGTGCCTGGTTGAGCATTATGTGTTAAGGTGGGAGGGAGTGGAGGGGAGGGGAAAAAGGAAGAGACGGTAAGGAGGGGAGAGGAGGCGTGAGAGGGGAGAAAGAGGGAAGCAGGGAGGGGGGTGGTAGGGAAGAGGAAGGAGTTAGGGTGAAGGAGGAGCAGGACAAGGAGGAGGTGAGAGGGGGGTGAGACAGCGTGTGTGACTGTCCGAGGCCAGGCCCAACAAATCTTAGTTATTGTGTAATACTTCTCTCTCTCTCTCTCTCTCTCTCTCCGTGTAGTGAACTTTACAGAGAAAATTAATACCAAGTTAACACAGGTGATTGTTCATAACCCACTGGGACAATCACGTGTTATTGCATCACACACACATCCTCCCCACGTAGAGTATTAACCTGCGGTATATTCTCACCCGTATACATCAAACCAGCGTATGAGTCAGGTGTTGTGGGGATGGGGTGAGCTGGCCTGTGTTATTCTATTATAGTTCCCCGCACACACACACACACACACACACACACATAAACACACACATAAACACACACATAAACACACACACACACACACACACACGGTAACCCAAAAAAAAACTGACGGTCATTACGAGTCTGCGAAGGAAAAAAGAAAAAGAAAGCAAAAGAACTCGAGCTCGTGAAAGAAATGAAAGAAATACCAAAGGCCTTCAAAGATATTAGGAGAGAGAGAGAGAGAGAGAGAGAGAGAGAGAGAGAGAGAGAGAGAGAGAGAATATCCACTCAAACAAAACAAAGTTCACAAAACACCATCTTCATAAAACTCCGAAATATTTTCCATTTTTTCTCACATTTCTTTTGTTTTGGCGATAAATTTGTGTTTAAACGTTAAATACATAAACAAAATACATACACCATAATGAAACAAATAAAAATAATAAAAGAATAACGTTAATAAAGTAAATAAAAGACCAATTTTCCTCTTATTAAAACAAAACTCAGGTGGGAAAAAATGGTTTAAAATGCCCCAAGGTGCTAAGGTAATGTCTGACAGGTGATAGGCAGTTGAGGATGATTGATGAGGGTGTAAATGGGTGCTGAGAGAGAGAGAGAGAGAGAGAGAGAGAGAGAGAGACATTAATACTCGATAGTATATTAAGACGTACTCATTCCACCTCTCCACATAACCACACGGCGGCCACAAGTAATGGCACGCACACGCACACACAGTAAAAACAAACTTGCCAGGCATAAATAACACGCTACCTGTATTACCAACGTACCCAAGCTGACAACCTTCCCTTCCTCCTCCCCTGTCATCCCTAAACCCTTCCCTTGTACCTCATCCTAACTCCCACTCACCTTGTACCTCATCCCTAACTCTCCCACTCACCTTGTACCTCATCCCTAACTCCCCCCCACTCACCTTGTACCTCATCCCTAACTCCCACTCACCTTGTACCTCATCCCTAACTCCCACTCACCTTGTACCTCATCCCTAACTCCCCCACTACCTTGTACCTCATCCCCACCCCCCACTCACCTTTTCTCCAGATCTGTACCCAAAATGCCCACTCCAATCCCCTCCCCCCCACCATACCACTCCACCACAATGCTCATAAACACATAGTAGTGATGATGAAGAGGAGGAAGACAAGAAGAGGAGGAAGACGAGAAGAGGAGGAAGACGAGAAGAGGAGGAGGAGGACAGAAGAGGAAGACAGGAGGAGGAGGAGGCGGCCAGCACTCCACACAGAACAATACACACTTGAACACCTCTACCATCCAGCCTTGGCAAGAGTATCGTGTCTATATAATCACTTAGTTGTGTGTAAACATTATGACAGCAGCCGGGACAACTTCTAGTCTAAACAGGTTATGACTCTAAGCATCTGATTCTCTCTTTCTTTATTCTGATTCTCTCTTTCTTTATCCTGATTCTCTCTTTCTTTATCCTGATTCTCTTTCTTAATCCTGATCTCTTTTTCTTTTATCCTGATTCTCTTTTCTTTATCCTGATTCTCTTTCTTTATCCTGATTCTCTCTTTCTTTATCCTGATTCTCTTTTCTTTATCCTGATTCTTTCTTTATCCTGATTTCTTTTCTTATCCTGATTCTCTTTTTATCCTGATTCTCTTTCTTTATCCTGACTTCTCTCTTTTCTTTATTGGTTTATATATAAGGTGTCTTAGAATTAGTTCACCAGCCTTCTTGCCTCCTCTCTCCTCAGTGTCTCAGGAGCAAATTGAGGGAGTCAGGAGCAGGCAGGAAGGAGGGAGTGGAGTGAGTCAGGGAGCAGGCAGGGGAGTTGTGGTTCGCACGTAGGGAGTCAGGGAGCAGGCAGGGAAGGAGTCAGAGAGCAGGCAAGAAGGGAATCAGGGAGCAGGCAAGGAGGGAGTCAGAGAGCAGGCAAGAAGGGAATCAGGGAGCAGGCAAGGAGGGAGTCAGGGAGCAGGAAAGAAGGGAGGCAGGGAGGGAGCAAGCATGGGGGGGGGATAGGGAGCAGGGAGGGAGGGAGGGAAGCAAGGACATTTTTCTGGGACACTATATAATGTATTCGTAAACAGATACGCTAAGATATTACAAAAATCACTGGTATGGTTTTGTGTTTTAGTTATTTTGTAAAGGGGTGATTCATGAGGTCATTTTATATGTCGGGTCAATCTCTCTCTCTGAGCCGCCTCGAAGAAGACTTGACTTAAACCAGGAATTAACCCTAAAGACAATCAATCCTTCTTTCTGTCGAACGTAAACAAACACCAGGCTGTCACACTGCACAAAGCCTGACGAGCCCCTGTAAACGTACTAGTGAAAGAGACCCCTACAGCTATCTCTTCGCACCTGTGTGAGAGAACCTCATCTTCGTCAGTAGTTTAGCCTTATTATACGTCTACAGTACAGCATCCTCTATCATTCTTTTGACCGGAGTGCCTCAAGGTTGGAAAATTCTGGGAGAGTCACCGTCGAAGTGTATGCCCTTGGCCATGGGTTCAGGACGGTGGGTATTGTGGGCAAGAGGGGGGAAACAAGCCTGATGGGAGAGGTTTTTTGGGGGTGTGGGGGGGGAGGGGGGGAGTTAGATGGGGATTTTTTGGGGGAGTTAAAAGGGGAATAGGGAAGCCTGATGGGAAGTTTTCATGTCTAGGGAAATATTATTAATTGCACTACCCCACTCCTCTTGTTGGGTTGGCAAGACACACATACACATAAAATAATAACAACAATCAATAATAACAGCAATAATAACACCACCAATAAACACCCAATAACAAAAGTAAAGCTACACATCTTCTACAGCAGCCACTTCGTCGTGTCCACTACTGCAGGAGAGTTCTGGTATGCTCTTATAAGATCCCCTGATGGCTGGAGGTGTTGACAGTGGTGCGGCAGCTACTAGGAAATAGATCATCACTGAAGTATATTTACGATGTTAGAGTAGGAATGAGCCACTGGGCATTGCCAACCACTGTCTGTCTGTCTGTCTACCTATCTACCTGTTTATCTTTCTGTCTCTCTCTGTGTCTGTCTGTCTGTCTACCTGTTTATCTTTCTGTCTCTCTCTGTGTCTGTCTGTCTGTCTTCCTGCTAAAATTTGATGAGTTCAATGAGTATTTTCTTTGAGGTCATTGGAGTGTGTTGTCTAGTAATGAAAAAGGTGTCATCCATTACACACACACACACACACACACACACACACACACACACACACACACACACCACTGAGTCACGTGATCGGAAAAATGATGTGGGGTGGTCATGTGGCACCGCTACTCTATATACGGATCTGCCACCCACCCACCCACCCACATACCGCTCCCGTCCACCCACCCACCCACATACCGCTCTCGTCCACCCACTCACTCACTCACTCACTCACATACCGCTCCTATTCATCTACCCACATACTTCACCCACCCACTAACACACCATCCCACATACCGCCCACCTCACCCGCACTCCCTCACACCCGGCGACAGAGGCTTAGCAATTCACACGAGGTAGCTGGATAACGACAATACCAGACTACAATAAACTTAGCAAAAGGCAAAGAACCTGACTCTAGCAAAAAAGGCAAATTTAACCTGACCTAGCAAAGGCAAATAACCTGACCTAGCAAAAAAGGCGCGAATAACCTGACCAGCAAAGTGAATAACCTGACCTAGCAAAAGGCGAATAACCTGACCTAGCAAAAAAGGTTAATAACCCTGACTTAGCGAATAACCTGACCAAGCAAAGGCGAATAACCCGACCTAGCAAAGGCGAATAACCTGACGGCAAAAAGGCGAATAACCTGACCCAGCAAAAAAGGCGAATAACCTGACCCAGCAAAAAAGGCGAATAACCTGACCTGACCTAGCAAAAAGGCGAATAACCTGACCTAGCAAAAAGGCGAATAACCTGACCTAGCAAAAAGGCGAATAACCTGACCTGACCTAATAAAAAGGCGAATAACCTAATCCAACCGTACTCAACCTCCAGACCAGTCCAACCCCTCTCCCTCCCATCCCTAGATTCTCCTCCTTCCTAATCTCTACCCCTTCTCCCCACCTCCCATCCCAGCCCCCCATCCTACAGAACCCTCCTCTCAGCGCCCGCCTCACTACCCCTGACCCATTGCCCCGCCTAATGGGGGTGATTGAAGTAGCGAATGAGTCACCCCCACAAACGACAGTAAGGGGAGGGGGGAGAGGGAGGGAGGGGGGGAGGAGGGAGGGAGGGGGGAGGAGGTAGGTTTCACTACAGGAAGCCTGGCCAACCCCCACCTTGATATATTTTGGGCGGTAGGAGGAGTGTGGTGGGGGGAGGGGGGGGTGGGGAGTAGGGGAGAGAGGAAGCTGAAGGAGAGGGTGGTGGGGAGAGGAGAGGGTGGTGGGGGGGCGCAGAGAGGATGAGGAAGAGAGGAAGGGGGGAACGGAGGAGATCGGGGGAGGTGAGGGGAGCTGGGGAGGGGAAACGAGAAGGAGAAGAGGGGGGAGGAGCCAAGCTGGGTAGTATATAAGAGGAGGGAAGACGCCGCAAATACTAGTTTATCCGGTGCAGTCGACACAGACCCTCGCCACCATGGTAGGTAATGCGCTTAAGGTAGTGATCCATGCTGGCCCCCCTACTAGTGTACTTACTGTTCGTGGTTACTCCAAGTGTACGTGGCAGTGATGGTACGTGGTTACTCGAGTGTACGTGGAGGACAAGAGGCAGTTGTTTACGTGGTTACTCAAGTGTACGTGATTACTAAAGTCTACGTGGGGGAAAAAAGGCAGTGTTGTACGTGGTTAATCAAGTGTACGTGGCAGTGGTACGTGGTTACTCAAAGTCTACTTGGGGGGAAAAGAGGCAGTGTTGTACGTGGAAGGACAAGCAGCAGTGTACGTGGTCACTCAAGTCTACGTGGAAGAGATAACAAGTAATAACAAAGGACAAGTAAGCAAGCAAAAAAGCAAAGTACCGCTGTGTACGTGATAAGAGCTAAACAAAATGTACGTGTCCGTGGATAGTTACGCACGCCGGAAAAAAGAGAAAAGTCCTATACCTGTCCGTTTGGATGTACTGTGTACGTGAGAGGGAGAGGAGCGGGGGTGTGCGTGCGGATACAACGTACATGGGCATGACTATAGTCTGTGGATACGTGGATACAGTATAGTGTGTGGATTCCTAAGACATACATAAGGGTAAACGACTCAACAACCCGTGTCAATAACCTGCTAGTTTCTGAGTTACAACACATGGTAGTTGTGAGAGGTTGTAATCTGAGAAATTCCATGGAGTATAAAATGAACCACCCAGTGCGTTTACCGGGGCTCATCAGGTCAGGTTAGGTCAGGAATACACCCACAGAATTATGAAGTGTATTTACGAAACCTTCTGTATGCAGGGGTGCGGGTGCGGATAGATTAGTGTATTATATTATCTTTAAGTCAATGGTTATGTGTGTGTGTGTGTGTGTGTACCATTTATGTATGTACGTGTTGTATCTGCGTACTTACATATTAATACCATGCAAGCAGAGGTTTCAAGTACATGTATATAAATAAATCCTTCACACACACACACACACACACACACACACACACACACACACAGGTAATAATTAACCTGATCTATTTTTTCCCGTCACTCAGCAAAGAAGTGGCGGACCCTGGCGGTGATTGGTGGTGGTGATAGTGGTGGTGGTGAAGTGGTGGTGGTGAAGTGGTGGTGGTGAAGTGGTGGTATTTGGCAGGGTGGAAGGCTGTTGTTGTTCATTTAGGAAGAAAAAGTAGGTGGTAAAAAATATTGTCCTCATTATTCAAGTCACCTTTGTAGTAAGAGAGCAGTACGAGAAATACATACATACATACATACATACAATAGACATTCAATCATACATACATACATACATACAAGAGACATTCAATCATACATACATACATAAAATTATTGTGTTGCTAACCAATTATTAATAACGTTAAGGTATTTCAGATCACCAGAGGATGGATATTTAATTTCAAATACCCTCGAAATATTTATGCTGTCCTGTCCTAACCTAACCTAACCAAACCAAGCCAAGCCTAACCTAACCTAACCTAACCTAACCTCAAAATATTTATGCTGTCCGTACAAAAAAAAATCTCTGACTGGGTGAATCACCTCCTGTTTAACTGTAGTGAAGATCTCAATAATGTACAAGACCATTTAAGTCATTTTGTGTCGGTATGGAGTTAAGACCTGAGTGGGTGAGGGAGCTACTGAGGTGTCTCGATTAGTAATTAAAGGGCATCATGTGTGTTTTAGAGAGAGAGAGAGAGAGAGAGAGAGAGAGAGAGAGAGAGAGAGAGAGAGAGACTATTCCTCCGCCCACTAGCGTTAACAAAACCCACACCACACTTCGTCACTACACTATACCATGTGTCACTACACCCACCATGCCCGCTCGCCCGCCCAAACATCACACTACCTTATCACACCCGGAAGCCGCCGCCCCGCGCCCCTCACCACCCCCCCTCCACCCGATAGAGAGCGTGAAGGGCGCCCTGTGAGACTACCACCAAGCTGGAACACGGAACACAGACTAAGAGGATGAAGGAACACGGAACACAGACTAAGAGGACATTAAGACCACGACTCAAGAGGAGGAGATGGCCTGCAGGGGTAGTGGCCTAGGGGTGATGATGGTAGTGGCCTAGGGGGTGATGATGGTAGGGTTTAGGGGGGGGGTGGGCGATGGTAGTATTTAGGGGTGATGATGGTAGGGCCTAGGGGGTGATGGGGATGAAAGGCCTAGTGATGATGGTAGTAGGCCTAGTGATGATGGTAGGGCCTAGGGGGTGATGATGGTAGTGGCCTGGGGGGGTGGAGTTAGGGTGGTGGTACAGGGTGGAAGGGGGGGCAGTGGTGGGGGCAAGGTTACCAAAACACCCAAAGACTAAAAATAATAAAAACAGCGCCAGCACGAGCGACCAACAACGCTCTGAGCCTGCTCACTCTGCCGCGATGTTTTTAAAATCACAAGAACCATCTCATTGTCGGTTGTGTATATTCCAGGTATATAAATATTAATAATAATAGCATAATAATAATATAATAATAGTAATAATTAAAAAACAATAATAATAATAATAATAGTATAGTAATAACAGTATAATAATGATAGTATAACAGTAACGGTAAAAATAATAGTAACGCTAATGAAAATAAGAAAATAACAAATCCGTGGTATAATTTTACCATCGCCAATAATACAAAAACACAGAGGCCACTTTCAGTCAGTCATTTATCAAGCAACTTTATAAACACCAACAAAACAACTTATAGAACGTTATATAACAGCCAGCGAGAGACTACGGGTAAATAAATATAACCCCGACCACTCAAGGGCTTCTCCAGCAGGCACTAACCACCATCTTCAGCACCTTCATCATCCTTGTTCAGCTTTCACCGTCAGTACGAATGAAGGAAGTGGGGGGGTTGACGTCTTCCTCCAAACGCTACCCAAGGATCTCTCTCTCTCTCTCTCTCTCTCTCTCTCTCTCTCGCTCTCTCGGCCAGAACATCTTCACTACAGCCACAAGTATAATATAGTATTTACTGAAGAGGCTTTGCAAGGTCACTGATTACCGTGTGGGGGGCAGCCAACCGTCAACAGCTGCGGGGCGTTACACACACACACACACACACACACACACACACACACACACACACACACACGTCAGCAAATCAAATGACATCAAATTGCCACACGTGTCATATTGATGTCACTGGCTGTCAACGTTTGGTTATAACTTGCGTATGACAGATGCGCTTACATAACCAAACCTGACCTGACCAAACGTAACCAAACGTAACCAAACCTGACCTGACCTACCCTGACCTGACCTACCCTGACCTGACCTAGCCTAACCAAAAATGACCTAACCTAAGCTCGGTGCGAGTCATGAGATAAGTAGTGTCCAAGTGGCGAGATGAAACATATGAATCAAGTGTCCAAGTGATGACACATGAATCAAGTGATGAAATGACACAAGAATCAAGTGTCCAAGTGATGAGACACATGACTCAAGTGATGAAATGAAACATGAATCAAGTGGCCAGGTGATGAGACACGAATCAAGTGATGAAATGAGACACAGGAATCAAATGTCCAAGTGGTGAGAAACATGAATCAAGTGTCCAGGTTGATTGGGAGGGGGAGGGAGAGGAGGTAGGGAGTGAGGAAAGCATGGAGGGAAGGGTGATAGGGGAGGGGAAGGGTAGGGGAGGGAGGGTGGTAGGGGAGGGAGGGTGGTAGGGGAGGGGAGGTGTAGGGGAGGGGAGGGTGATAGGGGAGGGGAGGGGGTGGGGAGGGAGGGGTGGTAGAGGGAGGTGGTGGGAGGGGAGGGTGATAAGGGAGGGAGGGTGGTAGGGGAGGGGGGAGGAGAGGAGGTAAGGAGGAGGAAAGGATAGGTATGGAGAGAGGGTAGGACGAAGGAGGGGAAGGAGAGGGAGGTAGAGAATGAGAGAAGGAAAGAGGAAGGGAAGGAGGGAAGGAGGTAGGGGAGGTAGGGAAGGAAGGGAAGGAGGTAGGGAGGGAGGCGCACCTTTGGCCCAGTCTGCTGTGGGTTTTTTTTACAGCACGACACCTGCCTACTACCTGGCGGCATACGAGGGCGAGAGAAGATGGAGAGGACGAGAAGAGGGAGAAAAGCAAATAGGGAGGGAGAACGGGGTGAGGGGAGAGTGATGAGAGGGGAAATATGAGAAGGTGATGATGGTGATGATGTGTGGATAGATGCGAGTGAGGAGAGGGGAATGAGGGGGGAGGGAGAGGAGGGAGGGGATGGAGAGGGTAGGTGAGGAAAGATAGTGAAGGAAGAGTTAGAAGTGAGAAGTAGGGGAAAGGGTAGAAAGAAATGCATAAAGGAGAGGGAAAGTAGCGAGAGGAGAAAGAGAGGGACGAAAGGGGGAAAGAAAGGAATGAAGGAGAGAGAGAGAGAGAGAGAATGACCTAGGCAGGCAGCAAGTGTTACCAGGCGACTTAGTCTCTCACCTGTGCTGGAGGTTATTTCCGTTCTGACGAGCTCAGACGGAGGAAGGGGAAGTAATGTCTGGGGAGGGGGAGGAGCGGGAGACGTAATGTCTGGGAATGGGGTGGGGGATGTCTGGAAGGAGGGGGGGGGGGCAACACCTTTCTCAGTCGGTCGATAAACAAAGGACAGTTTCAGGAAGCCTAATACTGTACAGACATTCATAGAGCTGACTGACGCACTTCAAATACCATACTATATAATAATTCCCTCCTTCCTACCTAGACAAGAAATGCCAACCTGACGCTAACCTGTGGCACCATGACCCACTTCTCTGACACCTGCTGGAGGAGTGTGGCAGCTGCTACTGACGAAGAGACAGCTCCTCCACCACCCACCTACCCCACCCCCCTCCCAGAGATAAATCAACTATATATATATATATATATATATATATATATATATATATATATATATATATATATATATATATATATATGTGTGTGTGTGTGTGTGTGTGTGTGTGTGTGCGTGTGGAAAATATTAATATAAGCATTAAATAACAACAACAATAACAATAAGAACAGTCATAATAATAAAAATAATAATCTGGCAACCCGTCAAAAATACAAAGCCTATCATTAATAAACTATAATTTATCATAAAAAGTTTATTTAAAAATAATATATAAAAAAATCCCCAAGGTTCTCTGATATTTTTTTCCAACATTACTATTTCCATAACGAGAAAAAATCAAATCGTTCACACACACACTTCAATTACAAGTAACCTTAACCCAGTGAAAAAATAAAATAAAATAAAAAATCCAGGAAAAACACCATTAATTTTTTCTTCACATACGACACTAACTCCTCCAGCTGCGTAAAATATACAACAAAACATAAATAATATACAAAATAATAATACTAATGCAATCATATAAACAATTATTAATTAATATTTTCTTCATTTCTTAATTTTTACTACACTGCCAACCACCCCAATGAAAATGTCTTAAGTTATATAGAGTACTGCAATATATAGCTATATTATAACACACAAGACTAAAAAAAATATATACTTTCACCTCATTTAGATAATTAATGTCTTGAAAATTCCCCGTCACAACCAACCAACCTTTCCGTCTTTCTCTTTACTGTCTCAAGTTTTTAGTCTTCCGCTAGCTGTCTTGTCTGGTGTTCGTAAATAATATATTCCTGGCAGCTGGTATTCCTCCTCTTATTAGGTAAAACGTGAATTAATCTGACCTCAAGCGTTTTGATAATTCACGGAAGAAATGTAGGAATATGCCGATTGAAAAATAGTTCCAAATTTTCGAATTAATCTAAAACTGGTATAATAATAATGATATATATAATGTTCTTATTTTGTTACTTCAAAGTTGGTCATTGATAACGATAATAAAAATATAAAAAAGAAATGGATGTCTTCTTTACAAACATCAAATTGAAAAAAAATGCCGTTTTAAAAGACCTCCGTCAACTTTACTACCGCTCATATTCTGACCAATTCACAGTCGCTTCACAGTCAGGCTATCAACTTTGTAAACTTTGTAAACATTAATAAATACATAATGTCCAAACAACAGTAACTATAAAGTAAAATTATGAGAGTGCGGAAGGAAAAAGACGAGTGGTGGTCGTGGTGGAGGGCGCCAACCGTTCGCCACCACCTGACAACCCGCCACCAACACGCGCGCTTCTTTGTCATCTCCAGACCGAGGAAAAACCTTGCTGGGGAGGACGAGGAATTTTCCCCACCCCGGACTCCTTACTCTCCCCTCTCTATCAAGCGTCTATAGACTTTAATTGTTTTACCTCGACCTAGATTTCCTTACAATGGGAATGGAGGCAGATTCTTCTTACAGAGATGTTAAGATGAAAAACAGTATCTAGGCTATGGTTTCAATACTATTCTACTCATCTGTTTCTATTCCAATACCTTGCTGCCTCACAGACGATGGCTACAATTAATAAGCTCAATAAAACATTTGAAAGTGAAAATGCTAAAACCTACTTAAACTTTACACCCTAAACTGGAACTGCATGGCATGTCCCTCCAGTATCGAACTTATTTACGTATATTTTGTTTTATATTTTCAAACTCTTATGCAAAATCATAAGCTAGAACTGCAGATATGTACAGCTGTTCACTAACCTAACAGTCCGCTACACATAAGTGTTATTAGCTAAATAAACCCACAAGTAAAATAAAAAAACTTCAAGAGGACAACAAGCAAGCCAAACTCAGGTCCTGGGCGTCCCTAAATACTCGTGTTGCTAAGAGCAGCCAACAAAATCCTGCAGTCACATTAACGGCCGCCTTATAAAATATCTGGCGGGCCCGACAAGACGCTGCCGCTCTCCAGTTCGTTGGCCGACCAAACTAGATTTCCTTTCAAGTATCAGACAAAAAGGCACAATCTGCTAACATGACGCACCTTGAATCTGATCCATCATGGGGTAACGGGGAGGTACAGGCTGGCACAGAACTAACCTAATTACCCACCAACGACATAATTATGCCCAAATCTGAGTAAAACGAAGGAGGGAGAGAAGGGCGGGAAAAAATGCGGCATCCTGGCACCTTCCCAAGATAGCTGCAGTGTTGCCAATGCATCCCTACCACACAGAACTAAACCACTGAATACTGAAATTTATTCTAGTAGCTTACTGCCGAAACTGTTACACCTGTCAACACACACTCATTTTCCCTTTGGCTACAGCTCGTTTTTATACCCAAACCACATAATAATAGTAATAAATTTCGATTGCCCTGTGTGAAGGTCGCGGACGTGTCGCAGATGAACGAATTTTCCCGCCAGAACTTGGAAAGGGAGAAGGGAGGAGGTGGAGGAGCGCGTCTGATTTAAGGCCAACCAAAATAACTAGAAAATAAGAAGATACAATGACTTACACAAAGGAGGAAGTAGTAAACAGATGAAAGAACTGAGTAAAATGGGACATAACGTGGAAAGGAAAATTACTCAAGAAAATGGCAGGACATGTAGAAGAAAGAGATAAAGGAAGAAGATATGCTAAGAATAAGACAAAGTTACGTGAATACAAGGCTAGTGAGGTGAGGAGTTAGTAGCACTTGAGGTGAGGGATGGAGGAGGTGAGAGATTGGGGTTAACTTTGAATAGGATTGTGTTAAATGAGATTAGTCAATTTAGTTAAAAAAAATAAATAAATAAATAAATAAAACAACCAAACCAAGCCAAGACATTCTGGGTTACAGCTTCCGCTACCTAAAGTGTTACAGAGAGAGAGAGAGAGAGAGAGAGAGAGAGAAAACGAATTTGGGAGTCAGAAAAGGGGAACCTCGTCTAGCCTAATCTAACCATAACCAAATTATAACCTAAGCTAACCTAACCATAATCTAACCTACCCTAACCCGACCAAAACTGACTCCTCCCGCACCTCCCCCAGACACGGCGGAAACATTTCTTAAAAGCCGTGTACTATAAGAGACAGATCTTGCTCCCTCGTCACAAACAGCAGTTCACACATCATCAAAACTGTCAACACACCTAAAAAAAAAACACGGTTATTAAACCTCTAGTGGCGGTGGTGATGTGAAGTAGCGTAGTAGTGAGTAGTGGTAATGGTGAAGTAGTGGTGGTGAAGTAGTGGTGAAGACGTGAAGTGGTACTGAAGTAGTGGTGAAGTGGCAGCAGTTTAGTAATGGTGGTATAGTAGTAGTAGTGGTGGTTAAGTACTGTAGTGGTGTATAGTGATAGTGATGAAGTATTCCCCAACTGCTAACAAAAATTTCTTTTTGGACTAGAAAAAAAACTTCCACAAGACACATCCATAAATAACGTGTGTGTGTGTGTGTGTGTGTGTGTGTGTGTGTGTTGGGTATAAGCCTTCCTATAACCGCTCTGGTGGTCTTAGAGTAAACACACTTTTATTAATAACTTAGGACTGAACACCCTAGGAGGGCTTTATCGTTATACAGAACCCGGCACAACCTTCGTCTTCCTCACCGTGAATGACAGGCGACGACGATACAGGCAGAATATATAACCTGTCCTATCCTAATCTAACATAATTTCACCTAACCTATCCTAATTTCGCCTACAGTAGTTCTTCGTTTCCTACCTTCGAGAATACCGCAACATTGACGGGAAAAAAATGGCATTTGCGTAACATTTTCTCGAGACTTCCGTGCGCGGCGAGGAAGGAAGCTGACGTTACACATCCGAGAGGCGGAAATTGTGGCAGTCAACGGGTGGGGGGTTGAGAGGGGCGGGGATGAGATGCACACAATCAACAAGCCATTGGACAGTGGTTTTACACAGGTGAGAAATACTGTACTCTCAAAAACATGGAAGAATGTACAATGTAACTTATTATGAACAAGACATTCTATTCGTTTTGGAGTGTGTATGTGTGGGGGAGGGGGGAGGGGTATGCGATTTTGTGTGCGTACTTATGCTGTATGTTTTACTTGTATATGTTTATGCAGTGCGTTTGTGTATGTGTGTATGTTTATGTAGTGCGCTTGTGTATGCGTGTACTGTATACGTTCGCACATGTACGTAATTTGCTGTGTAGGTAACGCGTTTTTTTTAATCGGGACTTTTAGGCTGTTCTTGTCAGCATTTTCCACGTCTTCGCTTAACAGAATTTCCGGCCACTTTGTTAATGTTGACCCAGAGACCTCTAGCTGGTTAGCCCGACACACACTGGGTGCCTTCGTTCCCTTTACGAGTGAAAGTCTATGTACAAAATTAATTAACTACTTGAGTTCATGCATGTTTATGTATACAGTACGGAAGTGGTCTGAGCGTGAATGTCTTAATATTTCTACATCTACAGTAAACTGTTTGTGTAAGTGTTCGTGTAGACATAAATGTCCCGGATATGTATGTGTTTATGTGTACACGTGTGCGTAAGGAGATAGGTGGTGAGGCTACGCGACACCGTGGGGGGCGGGGTATCAGATAGAGGGCGAGAAACACGTCTGGCCTGCCACTACTGCCGAGATATGTTCTCCATCTGCCGCCCCCATCACTGAACACTATACTAGACTTCCATATTCAATCTATTCATATACACCTGGTCTCTTTCTAGTTCCACCTGTGGTTGTTGAGTGATAATCTCCCTTTGTTCAAAATGTTCAAATAACATCTATGAAAATGTTTACCTATAAATAATAAATGTGTTATTTGTTACAGGCTGACATAGAGCTTCCTCCAATTGACGACGAGCAGATGCAGGGTGAGTGACGTGTTTCGGGTTTGTTTACATTTACCTGACGGCCCCTCCCTCTATTCTCAACTGTCCAAATATATGCTGTAACAATCCACCCATCTACTGTTTATCAACGTATCTATCTATATATCTACCTACATACCAAATAACCATTCCATCTATAGATCTACATATCCATCCTGATAAATATGTGGTCAATATAAGCGCTGAGAGAAGGGTGGCCGACCCTCTCTAAGAGCAGGTAAAAATAACGAAAATTTGAGACATTAAATGGCACATCAAAAGACTTTAATTATGTAGAGTATTTTGTTGGGCAAGTTATTTATCAAAACTTTCCCCAGTAGGTAAGCTTGTAAGTACAGATGTATGTAGCCTAGCCATACAATATGTCACTTTCTGAAGCCTCCCACCCACCCCTCTCTCCATCCCTCCCTCCCACCCTCCCTCCCTATATTCATCCCTCTATCCATCCCTTCCTTCCTTCCTTCCCTCCCCTCCATCCATCCATCCCTCCCTTCCTTCCCCTCCCTCCATCCTTCCTTCCTTCCTTCCTCCTCCCCCTCCTCCCTCCCTCCCTCCAGCCTCCCTTCCTTCCTCCAGCCATACCTCCCTTCCTTCCTCCAGCCATACCTTCCTTCCTCCAGCCATACCTCCCTTCCTTCCCTCCAGCTTCCTCCAGCCATACCTCCTTCCTCCATCCATCCATCCATCCATCTCTCCTCCTCCCTCCCTCCCTCCCCCTCCTCCCCTCCCTCCTCCATCCATCCATCCATCCATCTCCTCCCTCCCTCCATCCATCCATCCCTTCCTCCATCCATCCCTTCCTCCATTCACCCAATTCTTCGTCCCTCTCTTCACCCTTTCCTCACTCCCTCTCTCTCACCCACCCCATGCCCCTCTCCCCTCCCTCCCAAATAAATTCAGTACATGGCATCACGTTTATAATACCATCATCACATAACATAACTTCCTGTAACTATACAGTACACCAAAATCTGTAACAACATACTGTATATGAATACTCTTACTGATTCCTCTCATCTCTCCCTTGTGTGCAGTGTTGAAGAGGGCCTTTGACAGCTTCGACTCAGACAAGAAGGGAGCCATCTCGACAGAAATCGTGGGTACCATTCTCAGGATGATGGGTCAGACCGTCAACCGCCAGATCCTTAGCCAAGTCATCGAGGAAGTTGATGTTGACGGTCAGTGTTACTCCGGCTCCAGTTTCCTCATGCCTTACTTTCTCTTGCGTCCTTCCCGATGCCTTACTTTCTCTTGCCTCTTTGCCAATGCCTTACTTTCTCTTGCCTCCTTCCTGATACTTCAGTTCCTCAATGCTATAGAAGTTCCTCAATCATACTTCTGAATTCACCCTTCCCAGTAATGTTTAGTATTACGGTTTCTCTTGATACTGTAATTTTTCCCATTTGTTTCATTTTTTAGTCACAGAGAGAGAGCGAGAGAGAGAGAGAGACTAAAATTATGTTTCTTCCTCCAAATAAACGTCATCTAACCACTCCCTAGCCTTATTTACCATGGTAGTGTTCAAAATTATCTATGGTTGAATCTCCTCCGCCTCCCCATACACCTCCAAGATCTACATCCACAGGTTTACCACAACTTTCTATTTTGTGTTTCTACGCCTACAAGACTGATGACCGGTACTGTGTCGGGTTACAGGTTCGGGAGAGCTGGAGTTCAATGAGTTCGTGATGCTGGCTGTCAAGTTCATGAATGAGGAGGACGAGGAGGAGCTCAAGAAGGAACTTTACGAGGCCTTCAGACTATACGACAAGGATGGTTAGTTTTAACAGCTCTCTCAAGTGCCTACGTTAAGAGTCCCTCCAGGAGATAAGAAACAATGTAATTTATGACTGAATATCGGCATAATCTTAAGCGTAATTTAAGAAATATCTTTGTGCCAGAAGTTATGAAGGGTTAAAAAAAAAAAGGCACAAATGTTTGAGGCCGAGTCATGCCGCTATTCTTCATTATTTACTGATAGACGGATGCATAATACACAACACATTTACACTGATGGTATATTTTCCCTTTACTCTCCCTTAATGGACAGAGCGTAGTGAGAGCAGTGAAGTTCTTTATAATACTGTATAGTAGTTCAAAGACAGCCTTTAATTACTGTATATTATAAAAAAAGTGACACCAAATTACAACAAACATATCAGATACTGTGCAAGGATTACTGCAACAAGCCAAACAACAGTCTTACCAACACACAAAAACACTCCAGCAAACAAACACTGAAGCTACTCCCAGTAATCATCACCTTTCATTATGACTCTAAAGCCACATAAACACTACAGCCATGTCCTCAAGCCACAAAAATATAACCAGGGCCTTCCACCGGTAGGCCAAGGATTCATCCCCACCAAGGTGCTGCGCGAGATCTTACACGAGCTGGACGACAAGCTCACCGAAGAGGAACTCGATGGCATCGTTGACGAGATTGATCAAGATGGCTCTGGCACCGTTGATTTTGATGGCGAGTGTCTTCTCCTCTGATGTACCTTTGTTTTTGTTTTGAATTGATATATCATATTTAGTGAGCTGTCAGGAGGCCATATTTTCACAATTAACATAATGTTGTCATGATGCTGTTGTTCATCTTATGATTTACTCTATGTATTATGGGAAGACCTAACTCAATTACTCATACTATATGTTGCTTTATGGCTCTGAACTTGTAACTTATGTAGAAGAAATTTACTGTGTGAAGTTTCCATCTGACTTTAAAGTGAAAAATGCTGGAGAAATTCATATACTGTATACCTGACATTCAATTAATTTTTTCCCCCACAGAATTCATGGACATGATGACAGGTTAAACGCCCCACCCCGTACATCAGTCACTCCCCCACGACCTCATTGCTACGTCATCATTTCGTTACGCAACATTATAAGACCACACAGCTTCACAGGTGCCATCCTGGGGTTGTTTATGAATGGATTTACCATCTAAGTGTTATGTCCCTTGGACTCGAGTTATTTAAATTAGAATCCATCGGAGTCAAATTTCATCCCCGATAGATCACTCCGCCATCTTCTTTTAGCTAGTTGTAAGAGATTAACCTCATTAGTCAAACAGTTCCTCAAAATGGTCCTTCCCTTCGTAAAGTTCCAGTACAAAAGAGTCCATAAGATATACTGTGATTGAATCGTTGATGAATATTTTATAATTTTTATACACATCTAACTTTAAGTTGCGGTGGCTCATATATCCCATCTTATTTTGCTAAAGTGCCTCGGTTCATTAGCTTAGCTGTCGCGTCTTGTTACAGCGTTTTTTGTCTCTGTTGGTACGTGTCTCTGTCCTGTATACGGTGGTGCCATTGTCCCCTTACATATAACCCATAGTGGTGCTGTTGGTGACTTGTAATGGTACCCTACTGGATCCACTTATTACCATGGTCCCATAGTTGTTATTCCTATCATTCCCTTCAATGTTGCCTTATGTTTCCCTGTCTAGAGTGGTGTCACATGTTCCCAGTTCCCTCATAGTGGTGCCACATATTCCTAGTTCCCCCAGAGATGTGCCACATGTTCCCAGTTCCTCGGTGGCACCACATGTTCCCAGTTCCTCAGTGGCACCACATGTTCCCAGTTCCTTCAGTGGCACCCAACGTGTTCCTGCCCCTCCACACCTCACCTCTGTAAGCTTGTGATGTCATGTTACTGGTAAGAGAAGTCGAAGGTTCTTGTAAGAAAATAAAGAAAATTTACCGATATCTTCTTGTAATTCCACACGTCCTTTACATATTCCTCAAAAAGATACAAAAATAATACTAAACCTAATGCAAGTTAACGGCTTTGCTATCTTATTTGGTTAAAGCCAGACGATGTTACTCAGCAGGGATGGGAGCCCATAAACAAGGGGTTAAGATGATAAACTTTCAACAACAAAAATCATAACAAGGTCTGAATTCTCACAAACTTCATCCACGATATTGATGAGATTTTCCAAAACAAGGCAACAGCATTAAATGCCAGAATAGGAACCTGGTGTACTAACAGAAATCACCCTAATAGCCTACAACACTACTAAGCTCCTATAACTATTAACTTCCTTTAACATTTACAAACTTTTCTCAAGCAACGTGTAAGAAGGATGTGGTTATTTATGCTAGACAGGACCTTAGAGCTAGCCAGGTAAGGGGAAGATACAAGGGGAAGATATTTTTGAAGAACCAAAATGGTGTAAAATTAAACTGAAAGCAGGATACTTACTCACCGAGACCAAAAATGAAAAGGACCTGAGTGAGCATGTTGACAACAAACTGAAGTTCTCAAACCTTTGTGTGAAAGTGAATGAACCAAGTAGTACTGTAAGTCTTATACGATGGCCATTCAGCTATCTAGATGGAGGTGTGCTTCCCCATTTGGAGTACTCTCACCCTGTCTGGGACCGACATATGCTACAGGCTGTCAGTTGACTGAAAACGTCCAGAGGGCCACCAGACTGGTGTCTACACTGCAGCACCTCAGTTACCCAGAGATTAGAATGCCTGCAGCTGCCTATCTTATACTATAGGTGGGAAGAGGGTGACTTAATAGAAGTCTATAAGAACCTCAGATGACATAACTCTGACAAGTGTTCATACATGGAACTAACAGAATGACCCCCCAACTAGAGGTAACAACTTCAAACTGAAGAAGCCATAGCTTCAGGAAATTACCGGGGCAAACTTTACCGGAGTGAGGGTTATGAACTGTTGAAACAACCTGCTAGAGTGTTGTGACGGCACCGAGTGTGAGCTCTTCAAGACCAGACTTGACCAACACTGGCACAAGTTCAGATGCATTCTGGAGCCAGTACATGCCCAATAATTGCCAACAGTGTGTAACAGTCATGACCAACCAACCAAGTGGCTATAAGGCCAATCAGTAGCAAAGAGGACAAGGGAAAATATACTTTACAGCATTTTCAATCCATAAAATGTACACTATTTCATAATAAACAATAAATGTATCACTGATAAAAACTTACCTTCTTCCTGCAACACTAGAAGATTACTGTATCCTATGTCTGCAACACTCATGACGAAAACAGGAAAATTCTTAAATCTAATAAAACCTCATGAATATCCATCAACTCTCTAAGTCCTGACATGATACAAGTCCATGTACATTACCTCAAACCCTTATCCACTGTTACAAGAATTTTGTTGTAATACGGTACAGGTCATTCTCACAAAACTAACAGAAACAAGCGTGAGCTCCTTTCAGGCCAGACTTGACCAACACTGGCACATGTTCAGGGACATTCAGGAGCCCATACATGCCCAGTACTTGCCAACAGTGTGCAACAGAGGAAGGACGAACCATCCGACCACCCAGTAAGCCGACAAGCGTCAAACAGAATAAAGTAAAGTAAAAGTTATACAACCACAGACCTGGAAGTAGAGATCCAACGAGGCCATCAGGTCACACTTCTCGGGGAAGCACTTGTTCTCTCTCATGTAGTATCCTAGTGAGTAGTTTCTATCTGCATGTTCTCGCTCGGACAGGAATGTACCATTACTGAAACCCACGTTCTCCCCGCCTGCCAGACGCTGTGGGGACGTAACAAAGGGAAGGAGTTATGCTTACAGGTTATTTTTAATAGTAAAACACTTCACATTTTCAGAATTGTTAGAATAATGCTGCTTACCATCATTTGTACACCTGCAATGTCTATGTACAGTAGTATACATTGTTTGTACAGGTATACCTGCAACTAAATACATTGTACAGTGTATGTTTGTATTCCTTCTGTACAGACTGAACCAAAGTAATGTGTATGAGATTTTACTGAATATCTATCTATCTATCCATACAACAATAGTAAATAGTCAGGCAATACAACCAAGGGGCCAACAAAGCCATTTTTGTAGAACAAACAAAGTACAGTACTACATTATGTATAGTCTTCACTATGATTTATATTAAGTAATTATCATCAATAATAAACACTTATAATAACACTTGGTAGAGTAGGTCAGCAGATACCTAAACAAGTAGCAACAAAAATTTAAAAATACACCGTAATTTATTTTCTTTACATCTAGTATTAAATTCTTTCCAGCCTGCAGAATCACTGAAAGAATGTGCTGTACAGTCAACAGTTAAATATCCTGTCGCCTCTCTTGCCGCTCCATGAACCCCAAGATTCAGACTCGTGAATCCTAAGCATCCATGGACAGAATAATGCATGTGTCTACTGCTTCGGGTTCATGAGTCTGAATCTCTGGGGTTCGTGGAGCAGGAGGAGAGGCGACAGGACTTTTGACTGTATATCATGAAAGAAGCACTGAAAGAAGTGCAGTTCATGATGTGATTTATAGAATCACTTAAAGACCATATTAAAAAAAATAAATAAAAAATTACAAATATGGTAACGTGGAGGACATTCACTAACCTTGAAATACTGTTGGACGAAATCAAACTTTTCTGAGGAGGACATACCCGGTTTAACGAGACTGTGTAGGAGAGCGTTTACAACTATAGAGCCAGCATTAACCAGGGGATTGTGTGGCTTATCTGTGAACAAAATGAAAGAGCAGAATGTTATGAGTTTAAAATATATACAGAGAAAAGGAGAAATTTTTACTGAAATCTCTTTTTATGACGGAGCCAATACCCAGGGAGTGTACCGGTAACTATTATCCTTGTCTCCAGAGAGGAAGGGCTGGTATCAATTGTACTTTGACATGTGCAGTGAAAAAGATAAAACAACAAAACTAAATTAAAAGTTGTCTAAATAATGGCTTTTGTAGACAGACTAAATTTCATATGCAAATTTATAAGCAGAATTACAAATGAAGGCTGATTGGTGTAACTACTGTACTGCATCTTCAAATGGACGAGGCATTACTAGTCTCCCACCCATTAACTTAATCCATTCTTTTCTCATTTAGCTGTTATCGTCAGTATAATTTCTTCTCCAAATTAATACAGTACATAAATAATAAACAAGTCCTACAGCTTCAATTCACTCTCTTTCAAACATTTTCTTTTAGTAAACAACAAAGCTTTATTATTATTATTACTGTATTATCATTATGGTATCAGAAAAGTAGATTTTATTATGTATAACTACCTTAAGAAAATGTAAAACAGTATCACAAAAACAGATGGGCAGGTATTGTACTTCTCTACACATGACATCACTTACCATTGTAATCCAAGACGATGGCGTTGAACATGCGACCACTGGGTTCCGTACCAACATATTTGTGCACCGTCTCATTACCCAACTCATTAAGTGCGATGCCATACGTCACAGGTTTACTGAGGGCAAGGCAGGAATAGGGGTTTAAGTCAGATAAATAATACAGAATATCTTGAAATAATATAAATTGCTTACGGTAATAAAACTACAGTGGGTTCTGCTATAACGCATGTTTTGATAACGCGAATTTGCTCTAACGCGATTTATGAATAGAGGAACGATATTTGTATAACGCGAACGCTTGTTTGCTGTAACGCGATTTTTGCTTACTATTTCTCCAATTTTGTGGTATTAACTGTGAATATGGTAAAGAAGAATATCTCCAAGAAGTGTTCTGGTGATCGAATTCCCGGTGATGATCGTAAAAGAAAGGATATAACACTTGAAGAGAAGCTCGATGTTATCAACCTCAAAATCACCCTTCTCCCCCATCGTTATATTCATATTTTTTCAAGGTAAAGTGTTACATTTACTGTATGATTTCATTATTAGATATGAATGTAACATTTATTTAGACTGTGCTATCCTTTGTGTTAGGCTAACTACTAATTTTTTTTCGATTTCGAGTGGTAATCTGCACCTAACCCTATTTTCTCCATAAGCCCTGTTATTTCTATTACACGATTTTCTATAACACGATGTTTTACAAGAACACAACTATCGTGTTATAGCAGAACTGACTGTATCCCAGATTTTCTAGGACGGAGTAGGTCAAAGTCCCAGTAAAAGGAAAAATATATATACTATTATCAGCTATACTTTCAATTCAAAAGTACTATGCTTAAACTGGAGAAACTTTAAACTACCAGTACTGTAATTATTCAGTTAGTGTCAGCCCCAAAGACAGATCGAGGAGCATTGGTGTTTATCCCATTGACTTTGGCTGATAATTAATGAGCTGAGGCTGACTTTAGATTATTAGATATTTATAAAACACGAAAAATACATCAGCGAAAATACTCCAGTAATTAAAACCGTCAACTAACCTGCAGGACTGCATTGTGAAATTGATATTTGTGTCGCCAACCTCATACCGCTGGCCATCTACCGAGCACACAGCCACACCAAAATGGTCCGGGCTAAATCTTGCCAGCTGGGGAATGTATGATGCTACCTGCAACAGCACAATGCACTTTATATCATGTCCGTAATACATGTATACCAACTTACACTAGTTTTCATTTATTCAAGAGGAGCATTTGTAGTATAATTCAAATATAAATATCCATAATAAAAGACAATTGAACATCCAAATTCCTTTCCATAAACATGAATTCAAAGCGTAAAAATAAAGGAATTCACCGATATCGATTTCACGCAGGACAGATAATTGTAAATAATTGTAAAAAAAAAAAAAGATAAAAGTGACGTCAGAGTAAAAAAGCCACTTCCATAAAAGCATTCTCAACTAGATAAAAAAAATACCTCGACACACCACTCTCGACTTACACAAGGCCTCTGTTCCATAAAACCGGCCATAAACCCATCTTTGGTAAATCAACCGGTGCCTATACAGGTACTCCCCGACTTACAACCTACTAGACTTACGTCCAGCCGCACTTACGATCTGCCTCAGTCGTACCAAAATGTGGTCAAATTATGTATTTTTGAGTCCCAAAGTCAGCACCCAGACAAAATTTTCATCTGTAATTCACTTTAAAATGGCTAGCAAGCTTAAAAGTGAGTGTTTTGTGGTGCTGAGAAGAAAAAGAGACCCAAATTTTCGATTTTCTATGCGTTATTTAAGCTTTTCCGACTTACAACCATTTCGACTTACGACCTGGATGTCGGTCCCTAACCCCGTCATAAGTTGTGGAGTACCTGTATGGTATTATGACTTAGATAAACACCAAATTCAGACTTAAAAGTACAAAAGGAATCACCACAGATACCAAGCTTAAGACATACAGTACATTTTATGCAAATGCAGAGTAAAATATCAAAAAAAGTCATGCACTGATTAACCAGCCAAAAATATGAGAGCAAAATTGTAATAATTGCCTGTTAAGTTTAGGTAAATATAAGACATGACAGGTAGCTACATGTACTGTACACTGGTATATTTACATATATTTTAAATTATTGCTTTCTTTACCAGATCATACATCATTCCCTTCTCTCCTAGACAAGACCGGTTGCACAATCTGCTAACAAACTGACCAGTGGCAAAGACGGTAAAGTAAAGTAAAATTAAGTACTGTAAAGTTTTCTGAGATACCTGTACATATTGGAGGATCTGTATCTATACAATTTAATAATTTACTTTGGAAAAAAATAAACAAATAAATAAATAAATAAATAAATAAACCACCATACAGTACATTTACAGAATTGCGTTAAAACCCAAGTACTGTACAGGGTATATATCTACTCCTTATTCAGTCGTATTGGTCAACCTCAGATTTTTTGGGGGGACAATCAGTTCCCAAAACCACGAATAATTGTAGGCTGTGCTGTACCATATTCTTATACTAAAACACACAACCACCTTCTCTGCTACAGTACCATATACTCCCCAAAGCTCAACTCATTTGCATTTATAACTCCTGTCTACCGATATACATAAAACTCTCAGTAACATTACGTACAATCGGAGTCAAAAGTTCACTCCAGCCCAAGAGTGAAGCAGCATCGACTCCAAATGAGATGAAACGGTCAGGGTTAAGTCAGTTCGGAGATTCATTCCCGTGATTCAATTTTACCGCGGAGAGTGAATCTCTTGTCTTTGGCTGTACCTCCATTCCATCATCACTATTCCTCAGGCATATATCTTTAAATGTTTCTCTTGCTTTGTATACATTAACTATCAACTGTCTATTTACTATATGTCTGAGTATCTCATCACCAACAGACATACTTAAAAAATATAATATGGCTGTCTGCTTTATAGTTTAGTGTCAGACTGCGTGTTTATTCCTCTGTATCAAATATAAGAGTAAAATGTGAAAATGCTTCCTCTAATGTACCATCTCATCTTTAGAATTTTACATGGTATTGTGGAAAATTTATTCATCTTCACTATCAATATAACAAGTATGGTAGAATTTTGTTTTTATAATACATGTAATTAACTCAAGGTTTATTTTGATAACCCAGACAGCATCAAGCTACTCTATGTTAAATAAACTGTCACAAAAATTCTTGCAATAATGTACAGTCACGGAAAAAAGTCCTGTCAGTCATCTGAGACCTCATGCCTTATAAGGCCCATGGATGTGTGACGTCTCAGGGTTCATGGATGGGACGAAAAATTGACAGGATTTTTTCCATGAATGTACAGTACTTGCAGTGATCAGGAGCATCAAGTGTAGTAATGATAAATGTGTACTGTATAAGACCATAATATTTTGTCAAACATTAGCGAGGAATAAATCTGTGTCAGTGCTGCAGATATATAACAGAACTGTTTATAAGGAGAAGAGGATGGTTATATATTAACTCCTTAAGCTTTACCACCATATGTATTCTGTACGGTCCACGGCTGATTTACTTCTGCGTGTAGATACAGTGAACAAGAATTATACTAACATCAACAAATACATTTAAGGAGCAGATGTGTTAACTCTTCAGTAAACAGTTCAAGGTGATGAAGATATTGTAGGTATTACTGTACAATTACACTGACAAAACTAATCACTTTTTCCAACAGCAACATTCAAATGACACATGGGAACAAAAATAACAGTTCAGTGACAGAATCTTTAAGGGAGTGACACTTGTGAAAATCATACCAACAATTATCCCATTTAATCATCCTTTATGACACCATTAATTCAAAGTCACATAATAATGGAGATTTTTTTAAGGTATAAACAACACGAGGATAAGCCTCTTGGAATTAGACAGAGGTGATACAAAAGCCAAGCAGTGCTGGGTATTACTAGCTCACTTGATGCTCTTACCTTGCCAACAGCGTAAATCTTTGCAGCATAAACAATGTGAAAAAAGCACAGCTGTTAATGCAATCAAATTTCAAGCAAGTTTTTTATCCTTAATTATGTTGAACAAGACACCACTATACATTGTACTGTATTTAAGTATTTATGAAAGATGAGGAATTCTTCCCCTAAAATCTAATGCAGGAACCAATCCAGGTTTTCATTTACACTTTTACTGTACAATATAGTTTTAAATTTCAAGACTGACTGTACAGTAATTTTCCCTATTATGTCACTGATACCCAGCTGTTAACGTCCTTATTATGTATGAGCACCTTCTTATACTGTGTAAAGTTTTGATTGTATTGCAGATAAAACAAGACTGATGAGAAGTACAACATAGGAAGCAATTGATTTTTGTGTTAAGTTACAACAAGACAGCACACGGCAACACATAGTCATCTAGGATACATTACTGATCATGATTAATGGAAATAATTACAGTAGTGTATATGTACAGTAATGTAGATACTCTGGTAAATTATTTTACTATAGACTAAAGACAATGACAAGACAGAGGCAGAATATTTTAGTCAAGACACCTGACACAAAGGTATGGAAAGATTACAGATATATTTCTCAATGTATGTCTGCTTTTTACTTTTCATTTAATAACTGCAAGGTGTTGGATATGTCTTGACCTACATTATCCATCCAAGTCATTACACATCCATTTCACTAGTCTCATTTCAGCCTATGTATGTCATCCATATCTGAATGGGATGGCAAAATCAAAGATGGAAATCATCCACGTGGGGCGACACCTGTATAGTTTCCTGACTGCTTTATCACCCTTCCTATACACTGACCTAACCAAGAGACTTGCCTTATTCTGTACAATACCTCATGATTTACAGACCACTTGTAGACATTGGTGTTATGAGGAAACATTCGTGTAAAGGGGGAGAGCACACTCAACACATGGAAGGTAACATTTATAAGTACAATAAAATCAAGATAAAAATATTCTAATTAATTATTGCAAACATAAGGAACATACTCTGTACCACCAAGTTTACTGGGAAGGAGCTTCAGGTTTTGGTAAAAATATTGTGAAGCATTAAACAGTTTTTGTTCTAATTTTTTTTTTGTGTACCCGTAATGATTACAGTATGTTGACACTATCTATGCAGTCGCTCTCTCAACTCCCAAAACTTGACTACTTATCAAATATATTCAGTCATGACTATGTACAGGCAAGTAAAACAACACACACACACACTAAGTATATTCAGGAAGGGAGTAATAATTGTTGTATACCATATAAAAGTTAATAAAAAACATGGATTATACCAAGTTTGTTTGTTATTTAGCTCATGATGCTGAAAACTTCGGACACCAGGAGGAATATATCTACCCCACATAGACATATTCCTGGTACAATGAAAGACAAATGTTGTGTCGTGAAATTTGGTGAAAACATATGCTGAAGGGCTAAACCTTTGGTGCACTCTGCCTTGTGGTAGGGGGTTCTCGTAATGTTTCACGAGTTATATTTAATTTTCGGACAAAACCGCGACACGACTCTTGTCTTTGATTGCACGATATATTTATACATTTAACACTTAAAGACTACATACTGTGCACTAATGGCAAGAGAATTAAAACCAACATGCAAGTAAAAAAAAAAAAATAATAATAATAATAATAATAATAATAATAATAATTATAATAATAATAATAATAATAATAATAATAATAATAATAATAATAATAAATAAATAAAACTAACTAACCTTCCCTACTGTGAGAGCCTTGGCAGACCAATAGAATTCTTCGATGTATGAATTGAAGTCGTGCCATTCGGGGACGACAAACTGGTGTCTAAGAGCCCGAGAGATCAGCACAATGTTGTCTTGGATCACTCTGAAAGGAATTAAGAGATCTTTAGAAAGGATGGCTGGAACTAAGGGGGAAAAAAAAACACAAAATACTGTATGTCTCGAGAAGATATAAAGGTTTACAGCATTTCTTATCTGCATGTAATGACACAATGTTCACAATTCTGTACAGGGTAGGGAGCCTGTTATGTAAATGTTAGGGAAGTTAGTATGTATATTCATTTGACTTTGATTTAGTAATTGTTTAAAAGGGTGACGTGCTTCCCCTCTTCTCATCAGATCAGCTTAGTAATCCAGTGTTATTATCAGGTGGCTTTGGTCCTTGTTAGTCAAGTGTTGGAGTGTGGGAATCCTCAATCAGGTCAAGAGAGGGAACTGTGGATGAATATTTGCCATGAACTCAGGGGATTTGCTGCCTCATGATGGGAGGGATTCTGATCGAGTTTGAGAACTGTACCGCTAATCCTATACTTTTTATTATCAAGAGCAGAATAATGTATCCAGTTCTTAAGTGGAGGATAAGGAATGGCATCTGTTTAATATTAGGGGTAAGAAATAATGATGATAATAAACACATGAATACCTGTACCTATAGGGAATTATCCTCCCTAAATTAACGAGACAGGTAGACAGGTGAGACCAGTGACTTCAGGTAACAAGTATGTACAGTGGCTGGTGTGTTTAAGGAGATGTGGCAACTGTGTTGGTTTACACTGTATTAAAACTCCCAGGATGACCCTAAGGAACATCACAATAGTAGCCTGACTAAGGATGTTTGATAAGTCTTCCTGACAGAGTTGCCACATCTCACAAAATGCACCAGCCACTGTACCAGCTCTAAGTGCAGGAAACTGTACATCTTGACACCTTACAAAGACAGGAAATACAGTGAAAGCGGTAAAGAAAACATGAACTGGAAAAAAAATATTATAAATCTAATGAATGAACAGTGTGATCACTTAATACCTAATTATTAGGATGAAAAAACTACTGAAGAACTTTACACATTATGTTAAAAGGAAATATAATTATTGTTAACTAGGATTTGAATAATGAAATATGTAAACTAAGAACAATGCTGAAGTTCTTAATCGGGGAATTTTGAATCAGTGTAGTCCAAGGTAAATGGGCAATACAGTAAGACAGGTACAGCAGTATGCCATAAATTTCAACCAGAGAAACGCCTTCTTGAGGTTTCAGAAAGACGTACAGTACACAAACATTACAGCATACACTAATAGGCCTATAGCTTATACTAGTAGGCCTATAGCTTATACTAGTAGGCCTATAGCTTATACTAATAGGCCTATAGCTTATACTAGTAGGCCTATAGCTTATACTAGGCAAGCACAAGTAGTAATTTTCTCAGGTACTAATAAAGAAGTCACAAACTGCTGTAGGTAAGCAAAGATTGTAAGCAACATTATTAAACAGATCTCATACAATACAAAGCAAAAGTATACAACTAATAACACCCAGAAGACAAAAGACCATTATAACTAAGTCCTCCATTGCATAATCCAGTAATCACCACCAGAGATTAAAACACCCTTGCAGTGCTCCCAAGCTGTGCAATAGATGTAATGAAACAATAAACACCATCAACATGCATCACCCAAATACAGTGAACACACCATAACAAGACAGTTTAAAAGCACAATATCATAAAGCATTGTCATACCTCTTTAATACAAAATAAACTTCTTCACACTGACATCCCCCACAAGGTTTTTTACCCTTCAGTGTGGAATCATTGCAAAGTACATACACCATCGTAATGTAGAGAATAATGAGAATATTTGCCATAAACTAACTAGAAGAAGACCTGTTACTAGCAAGAACGCACACGCACACACACGCACACTACAGTATTGACTATCCACAACACTTACATATAGGGGCATCCACAGTTAGTTGAAGACAGGGAGGTGAAACTTACACAAACAAATGTAAATTATCAACAAATCATACATCACCATGAACAATACACACCCATACTACTGGGGAGTCAATTGTATGTCTTAAGTTACTGTACAGTCCCTATATACTGACTAATTTCTATAATATCTAACTGGTTTAATTACTTTAGCTATATCATCTAAGTGGTTTAATTAATTTGGCTATATTATCTAAGTGGTTTAATTAATTTGGCTATAACATCTAATTGGCTTAATTAATTGGACTATAACATCTAACTGATTTAATTTCTTTGGCTATAACATCTAAGTGGTTTAATTAATTTGGCTATACAGTATTATCTAAGTGGTTTAATTTTTTTGGCTATAACATCTAAGTGGTTTAATTAATTTGGCTGTAACACCTAACTGGTTTAATTAATTTGACTACAGTATATCATCTTGCTGGTTTAATCATTCTGGCTCCATCATCACCAATGGTTCTTATACTAAACATCAATTCAATATCAGCACATGATCTTTTGTGTTTAGTCATATACTGTAACACCACTTATCATCCCCACATGTTTTAATACCCTGTACACCCATAAAATCATCCTTTACCCATCGACTCGTTTTTTTTATTTCCAGTTTAACGCCAAGTCTCCAGAACAGTGAGTGATCCCCCTAATACAACTGGCATCTTGAAGAGAGATTTAGGATTAGTGTGAGATTCTATTGTTTCTCGTCAATGCTTTACTATGAAGGCAATCCAGAGACGTGACTGACTGCCCAAGCAGCTAACGAGCCAATCAGTGGCGAAGATGATAAATGTAAAAAGTAAATGTGAAAAAATAATACAGTAGTAAAAATAATGATCAAATAAAACAGGACCAGAGGAAATTATAAGTATATAAAAAAAAACAATTGAGAATTACACGTATAAAAGAAGACGTTGAAAATCTACACAGTCAATGACTGATAGATGAAGTTCCCTCTGATCGCCTCTCTCTATATACATCCATAATATACACAGTACAGTACAATGATTTGGTTCTGAACAAGTTTTTGGTTCTAAATTTCTCTGGCGAAGATAAAAAGACTGATACTCCTTGACTGTAGGATGTCCATGGCATATGACATTTTGTAGGGGGACAACTTCACACACAAGTAAATGAACACATCATACAGTACCAACATGCCTAGCAATATTTTCTCAGAGATGGACTAAGGGAAGGAACTTGTGTTAGTGTGTCCTCTGCTGGGTTATAGTATTGATAAGTGACCTTTATTCTGGGTAAAGTTGTCTAGTACATAACAGAGAAATGGATAATTTGGCTGTATAATAAGTGGGTGTCTGTATGTTGTGTGCAGCGGCTGAGTGGATGGGTACAGTACCTAACTTTACACTACAGGAGAGTGAAGATGATGTGCAGTTCTGACCAGTCTACCTTCTTGCATACCAAAAGTTTAGTAACTATCCATACTGTCCCTAACAAGCAGTAGCCATGCCTGTGGGTACACTTATACTTTCAATATCCTGAGGGTTTGTGCTGAACAAAAACAATTAATGAAACTTAATTCATCTTTCTGTCATGAGATTTAGTTTCTTGTGATATGGTACAAAGCCTACAGGTTACCCGACCTATGTTTATATAGTCGTTTTTTTTTTACCTTTTGTCTAAAGAATACAGTTCACCCCATGATTTCTGAACACATTTATGAATCACCCTGTACAGTATATTTGCTAAGGATAAGTTATAACAAAGACCATGTGCTGATAATGATTAATTAATAAATTTATATATTTTTTGAATGTATACATTTGCATGAGTGTTTGAGTAGTGAGAGCCTGCATCAGTATAGAGTAATGTAGTGTCTTATGCCGTGTCAATATGGTTCCTCGGAAAATAGCCCTTATGTACTTATATCATCAATGCTGTCATTACACTGATAAAAACATGGATGAAAAATCTATCAATGTTGGAGTTTTTTGTCAAATTTTACAGGAATTACAAAATAACTGAATTGTGAGACTTGGAAAGAAAAGAAGTGCAAGAACTCCTGACCACATTAGCACATGTAAAGTATTCTGTACCAGATAAGTGAAATGATCCAGAGGAAAAAGGAAATAATTAAAATAAATGACAAGCCCTGACTGCTATACAACCTATGAAGGAATAATGAACTTGAAAACTGTTTAACTAAAAAAATATAATTTACTTGAGAACATTCATAATAAGTACCTGATTAAATTTATACCATTCAGATACCTAGAAGCATGGAACTATTCCCAGTAAACACAGACTTCATATAAAGCTTGGTTGTAGGGAAACACAGACAACATCCAGTGCTAAGGGAGTACAGAACACAAATTAGGGAACTCTTGATTTGTTCTTTGAAAAGTACAACTAGGGATGATGGGATTAAAATAATATAGTAGAGTATATTGTAGTCTGAATTGGTAATCGAGATTTTGGGGGAATAATCAAGAACCCAAAAGAGAAATCACTAAACACAAAAGTCCCTTTCACTAGTGACTTTACAGAGGCTCGTATGCGAGTTTCGTTCTGTCGAATGTAAACAAACAATGCTGCCACACTACACAAAACTTGACGAGCCCCTGTAAAAGCACTAGTGAAGGGGACTGTATATTATGCATGGCAGGCAAACTCCTTTCTGCATTTACTTTATAAAATACAGCCAGGGATTATGAAGAACCAAAAAATATGATGTTTCCTACAGATATTTTTTTTCACTTGAGGAGAATAAAGTGGAAAATCATTACTCGTCAAGACAAGTACCAGGACTCCTGAACTAAAAAATTATACAGTACAGACTTGAAGGAACCTCTACTGTAGGCATAAGAGGGATTGAAGATAAACTGTCTATAGTATGCCACTCCTCGACATACGACCGCCACAGTCGTACCAAATTTTTTTCAAATTGCGTATTTTCGAGTCCCGACGTTAGTGATTGCGTTGTGTACTGACAAAATTTTCGTTTGTAATCCCCTTTAAAATGGCTGGCAAGCTTAAAAGTGAGAGTTTCGTGGTGCTGAGAAGAAAAAGAGACACCCATTTTAGATTTTCTACGTATTATTTTCGCATTTTCGACTTACGACCAATTCGACTTATGACCTGGATGTCGGTCCCTAACCCCGTCATAAGTCGGGGACTGACTGTATATAGTTTTCTGGCTTATTAATCTTAGTTTCAGGGAAGTCAAGCAGAAAAAAAAGAGAAACAGGTTACCAGACAAAATATGACAAAAACATGTACCATAGGTTATGGCAAGAAAGGAAACTCACTACAGACTACACACAAAAGCAGCATCTAGGCTTTATGGAGATTCAGATATTATTACTGTACAATGCTTTGGGTTATTCCTTATTAATAGAGAAATCAAAAAGGGTAAAAAGGTTAAAAAGTATTAAGAGAAATCAAAGGGGCTAAAAGGGCAGAGAGTGGACAGATGACTTACAGACAGAACAGTTAATGACACTATCCCTCCAACTCAAGCAGCCAAGGGGTACAAATATCACTCCAACCTTTTTATAGTGTTCTAAAAGTCACTCCTTCACTACATATCCATAATCCACTCCTAAATATACATACATAAAACATACATATTCAGATCTGGATAAATAATGAAAACAAACACAAAACTTTCATAAATCATTTGCAAATCAAGTACCACAATTATTCTCTCCAACTGAAACACACAATGTCAATTCTGAGGCATTATTTGACTATCAACTTACACTACCACTAAAAATCAACACCTAGAGACAAGTGAACAAAATGTACGACAATCAATGATATACTTGTACATAAGGGCTACTGTATAGATAATAATGCTCTCCTCTACTCGAGTGTCCTTTTCTAATACTGAATATAAATTACATCTATGGGTTAAATACTATATAAGAATTAATCTAAATAATATCCTAATCTGGAACTCAAAAGTCAGTTACAAATATCATACTTTACCTAATATTGTATCTGAATATCCTCTCCATTGCATAGTACAGTAGATGAAAATTGAATATGGAAGCAATCAAAAAGCTTTCCACTTACTGTACTAATAAAAATGGTATGTTTCCCCTGCAAAGCTAAGGTCATAAATTGTTTCATATGAGTTTGCCCAATGCTTGTTCAGTATCTGGCTTACACTAAACAGGGTATGGAACTGTATTTATTCTTATTCATCACAAACAATTTATGGATATCTAACCTGCATTAATACTTAAAATCGTAATTGCCCAAGCGGCTAATGAGCCGATCAGTGGCGAAGAGGATAAAAGTAAATGATTAAAGCTCAAAGTTCAACCTATTTACAGGTATCTATGTGCAAGATACCTGTAATATTCTTCTATCTCATTAGTGGTTACTTTACATAGCTAACAAGCAAACACAAAGCAGATTAAATGAGCAAGATACAGACAAAAGGCATATCAGGAGTTAGCAGCAGCAGTAGGAGTATGTTAACAAGCCGGCAAGATACCAGTGAAAGGGGTCATCTCTCTTAAAAACTTGTAGTACAGTACAGTATGTCGTGTATAATATGCCTGATAATCAGCTCTGAATTTAGATGAGCCACATGTGCTTGTAGCTTCTAAGATACTGCAGCAGGATAACATCTCCACACTCGGTTGGAGAATCGGAGTTTATTAATGATCTAAATTTAACCAACAATTTGAGAAGGATGTCTAATTGGGTTAATCCTATGTTTTGTGTGTTGTATGCTGCCCTACTTAAGAACATGCAGTTGTATATATGAGAACAAGCAGTAATGTGCCATGGTAAAAATCCTTCTAAGTCATGTAGGTTGATGCATACTTCTTGAACTGTTCTCTGTTGAGCCTTCTTGAGGTAGGAGATGTGATGGGCGGGGCGCGACGCGGGGATCCATTCGTCGAGTTCGATGACGGACTCTGGGAGCGTGACCGCCGATCCCTGGCCATTATAACATTACTCATCACCATAGCACCACTTTAGGCACGGCATATCGTCATCTACACTTTCCAGGTAATGCAGACAGACACTTGACCACAGTTTAAGATCACCTTTCTGATACAGCCTTGGGGGATATTACAGAAACTGACAGCAACTTTTTGAACGGATGCACGGAAAACTAATCTGGCACTTTGAAACGGAGAACAAATCAATGCCACAACACTTGACTTTTTCTCCAGTGTTTTCCATTGCCATATTAATTTTGTTGCATTTTTTCAAGAAGATATTTTGAGTTAAATATTAGAAACTTCAGACAAACAATTTACCTTTAATAATTTACAGTATAATTATAGTTAAATATGAGGAAGATCTACAGTGGCATTCAATAATTTCTAACGCTCAGCCAGACTATAATTTCTTTCTTTGCGAACCTGAACTATATCAATTACTGCTTCAAAATTATATAAAAATCAAACTTAAAACAACAGAATATGGAAGTTAAAAATTTAGATTATGTAGAAAAATTAATTAATAATGATACATGGGAGAAATTTATCCTGTAAGGTAACCAAATAGTCCCAGGGTATTTAGCAAATGAAGTGAGGATAAGGAAAATTTTACTTTCATGCTAACAGTCATCATCTTTTAGCCTGTAGTAATAAGTAGTACATGATGATAGTTTACCATTATTATGACCCTTTTCTACCACTGTAAACCTTTTTTGTCACGATTACTAAACATAAAGAAGCAATATTAACCCCTTATGTACAGGGTTCTTACTGTGCTGGATAAAATCATTCGGCAACAAATAAAACTTTTAAAATAGCGTCCCTGTAGTGAAGGGGTTACTAGCTCCTCTAACCCCTTGTGTACAGGGCTGCCTCTGAGGTTAATAAAATCGTCTGATATTACACCAAATAAAATATCAAAAGTAGTGTCCCCGTAGTGAAGGGGTTAACCAGAATCAAAGATGAACATTACATAATAAGTGATCTGAACGTTGAAAATTTGGTATTAATATTACGTCAAGAACTCAATGCTATGTTAATAAACTATTCATTATTTAGGAACTAGATTCTAAAAGATAGAAGATAAAAAAGAATTACATCATTAATCTTTAAGAAAGAAGAAATCAGAGACAATGCTAAAGAATAAAACCACAGAGCAGCGACTACTGTTTTTAATGTGACGGATGAGATGGCAAGTTAGTATACAGACTCCCCCCCAAAAAAGTATCATTGCCTATGGGGTCAATGTTCGTGGTTGGTGAGCAGTGTTAGTCCACTAGTTTCAGAACAGTTGGTACAGTTGACCAATATGACCAGTAATTGAATTTAATGGCCGAGATATTATATAAACCCATATGTCGTGTATATTTGAGGGCTGTCAAATGTTGGGGGAACAGGCATACCAACATATGACGATACACTGGTGAATATATCAAAAGCATTTCGTCCAGCGCTTCAATTAGTAAGCAGAAAAAGTAACAACACTTTTCTGGGGGGAACTGTACAGGCATTCATCACTGTCATATAAAGTACACATGAATTAACTGTATATCACACATGCAGACAAAACTTACACCTGAACTATGTGTGGTCATGCAATATACATCATAATCTTCATACTCTTGTGCCTTCTCAGTTAAGAGAATTCTGTACTTACAACAAAAGCTAGACTCACCATTGCAGCACTTCTAATACTATACTATAACACTTTCTGAAGATGTTAGTGCCATGTATTGTTAGGTGGTTATATTGTACTACATTAAACTACACGACCCCTGACGAATAGCTGTACTACCACATAAATAACTAATAACAATGACCCAATAATAATCTATGAATGGCCTCATCATGTTCCCATAAAACATACAACTAACAACAGATAAAACAGATTTCCCCCAATTTACAACAAACAGTAATCAACTTCTATGTTATTATCGACTCCGTATCTGTATTTTTCTGGCTAAATAAAGTGTATCAATATGTCGAAGTCTATTATTAAACCACAATGACACACTAGAAAAAGGTATTTTACTCAATACCTCAAGTGAATCTTATATACTGTTGTGCATCTTCAGCTCAGATGCCCTACACTGATCAGAGCAGACATACACTGATCAGAGCAGACATACACTGATCAGAGCAGACATACACTGATCAGAGCAGACATACACTGATCAGAGCAGACATACACTGATCAGAGCAGACATACACTGATCAAAGCAGACATACACTGATCAAAGCAGACATACACTGATCAAAGCAGACATACACTGATCAGAGCAGACATGACTCAATTTTTAAAGCCCCATTTGAGCAGATTTCATTTTAACAACACAATAGCTACCTTTCCCTAAATCAGAACTCTAACCTAAAACATCTGTGTGGTTTGAATGGCACCCAAAAGTAAGCTCATTTACGACCAACAGACTTGACCAACACTAACGCAGGTACAGATACATTCAGGAACCAGTACATGTTCATAGTTACCATTAATATGACTTCTTATAATCTTATTTTTTTACTCATTTTAACTACTGTCTCATTCTTAAATACTATACGAAGTACCATCTCTACCATTACCACCATAAGTCATATATTTATCCACACACTTAACAACATCACCCAAGTCTAATTCCTGCCCCTGGTTACCTAAGATGGCCATACATTACTAAACACAAACCACGACCATCTACTAATCCACTCTTTATTCTCCTTCCTTCCATCACATATACTATTTTCCCTTTCCCAAACCAAGGAATTTTCTTCTTTCCCTCGACTTAAATCTCAAGGCCAATCTTAAGTTATCGACATTAATTAAGTCCTCATTATCTTCAACAGCACCTACCACCCATTCTATTATATAACTTTTCAAAAATAATAAATACCCCATAAAGTTACTTGTAATTTCGATCTATTTAACCAACTGCTCTTCAAGGCTTCCATAACGGGGCCTTTAAATTCTAATGACACTTATAGTACAATATACTCAGCCAACAGTGCAGGTCTGCCATCCACCCCGATACCTCTTAAACGTTCCCTTCTCGAGCATGAGGGTACTGAAGGAGGTGTCCTTAGGGTTGTCTAGTGTAGCGTGAACCTCCATCAGATTGCTCCTCAGTTCAGCTAGGCGTGGGTCAGACTTCCTCAGCCCTGTTTCTGTTAGTGCCTGCAGAAACAAACATGTATTAATTCTTGAAAGTAAATTAGAGTATACAGCTTTTTTTTCTCTCTCTATTTATATTTATTTGGGTATATTTAATTTTTACAACTATTAATTTTAAACGGATTAAGTAATTCAGATGTGACCATCAGAGATACAAGCAAGTGTGAATGTGAGGTAAATAGGACCAAACTACAGTACTGCAGCCGGAATTGACACACAAAGCATTATAAATTATAAATAAAATTAAGGTTTTTTATCAATTTTGTTTAGTGGCTTTAACCTCGTAAGGATTAATATTAGATTAAGTCTGATACAGCCACTGACCTGAGAAAATGGGGGGGGGGGGACTTAGGATAACGATAACATGTTTCTTAAACCAAAGTTGTCCTGTTAAACACTTGAATTTTTTTATTCTAAGCACAGTGAAAAAATAATTATCCAAATCAACAGTCATTCAAAATTTATACAGCTAAGAGGCCGATCGGTGGCGAAGAGGAAAGTAAAGTATTTTAACCTTTCCCGCATGATGACGCGACTCACGGCAGGTTTATAAGACCAACTCCACGGTGACACAAATCGAGTCCTCATACTTCAAAAAAATCGCCCCAAATTAAGTTTTCAACAGAATTGCGTCAAATTTTGATGCATATTAGTAGCAAGTAAGTTCTATAAAATAAACTAATTGGCAACTTTCGAAGCCCATAAGAAAGGAAGAACGGAACGATAAATGCGCAGTACTTTCTCAGCAGTTAGTGAACAGCCCATTTGTTTTCTACCTTCACCTGCACTTCCCTCTTCTAACTTTACCTTCCTTTCTCATCTCCTTTCATCTTCAGAGTCTATTAGGCTCCCTTCCCTTCATTGACAGCAGCAGACAGACCGTGAGTGTGAGACGCGTCCATCTAAATTTTCATAACTCCATGCAGGCAGCCTTAACATTATCCTGGATTACAGTGCTTACCCTAGTGGAGAAGTGAAGAGATGGTTGTGAAATGTAATATTTTTTTTTCATATTTACAGAGAAATTGTTCAGTTTTCAAAAGCCGTTACCATATCAGGCTATACAACCTTGTTATAGTGACAATGTCTCGAAAAGTCTCTGAAAGATGGTTTTCAAGACATGAATTTTATCAGTACCATTCTCTTCGTTACATTGTTGGCTACAAGATGCAATATAATTTATATCAATATAAAATACACATAAATAATAAAAAAAGATAAAAGAAAATATTTACCATTTGAGAATCGTTTTTCTTTCTATTATTATTATTGCGTTGGAAAGCTCATAAAATTCCTCTTCTTGCAGTGTATAGTACATTACAGTACTTTAAAATTTGGCTCAGATAATTTTGAGCTACGAGGTTGTGAACGTATTGGTGTGTATTTTTTTCTCATGTTTATTGGAAGTAAAGCAAAATAGCTATATACTTGTACTGTATTATTCCCTTTTCTTTGGCTTATGCTGCAGAGCGATCAGTTACGAAGCCAAAGATATATCGTTTATGACATGAAAAACAATTTTTGGGGGGAAATTGATAAAGCAAAAAAAAAATATTCACAGTGCACTGTCTCGCCTGCCCTGGGGGCCTCAGAGATGTGATCTTGGAACAGGAAAACTAAAAACTTATCTCGTGCGCAAGATGTCCTGAAAATAGATGGGACAGTGTACGTATAGGCCTACAGCTGTAATGCACTGATAAATAATAAATCACATTATTTATAAAATTGTATTAAATGATACTTACAAAAGTGGCGAATACCGAAAAGGATAAAGAAAAGTAAAATATGTAACTAAAATTGATCTTGATTCGAAGAAAATACAATCATACTGACGTTTATTACACACATACAGATATGCAAAATACATACTGGACAAGCATACACACATACAAAGACACAAATTCTCAGATAAAAACAACCACACACACTGTACAGTACACAGCAAGACCCACACAAAACACAGGCACATAGGATATCAAAGGCTTAGTATTTCAGAGTGTTTGTATAAGCCCTTCCTCTAATGGACCGTCAGGCCTGTGTGGAGGTGACACACACACACACACACACACACACACACACACACACACACACACACACACACACACACCTATCTTCAGTACACTGGTGATTTAAAAACAATACTACTTTCTGATTTTAGCTAGAATGAACCACTGAGCAATACAATAGTTACAGTAGTAAAGTTTGGTACAGTTGAGTGATGTTAGTAAATTAGCCTCTAGCTAACTCCTTGACAAGAGGGACATCGAATGGAGAAATGACATGCAACGTTTAGTGAACACAAGTTTACGATGGAGTTAATGATATAAATAAGGGTTTTGTTCCTGTGGGTAATTTATAGTCAAACCTTTCTCACAAAAATATTAATAACCTAAATTAATTACTATGTTAAATTAATTGTTTATTTATGATATACTGTATGACAATGAGGGGCGGTAATAATCAGGATTTTGTTTGCCTCATTCGTGTCCCCGACGTAAAGAGACTGGCAGTTCTTATATGACAAGCTTCCCTGGAGCTCGTCACTAATGATTACTCTTCTGGCCTTGTTCACCTTCCCTGTTGCTTTGATTAATTATGAAAGAAACCTCGCCTGAAAGAATGACTGAACTTCACAACCTGGGAATGAGTGAGTTGGAGATTAGGATAGAGAACCACGAATCGACTCGCCTACCAAAGAGAGGCAGATATTTTACAAGAGGAAAATTATCTACCTAATGATACAGCTATTATCATAATGTACCTTAAAATGGATCTTTATTAAGTTAGTTAGTCGATCAATAACTCACGCAGGGAACCATCTGATCATGAGTACCATATAGATTACTGCTAAAAAAAATATCCTATTCTTGTCTTGTGTTGTCTTTCGTTTGCAACTTTATGTAACTTGTATGATTTTTATGAAACTAAAATATTTTAATATTTTGTACGCATCGTAATTCTGTCCTTGACCACAAGATGATAAAGCAGCTGGCCTCAAAAATAAACCAGAAAAGAGACTGGCTTGAAGAGATCTCCTTTGTCCAGTTCCCGCCGCGGTGACTTCTTATGGAGACAATCCTACTACGGTAGTGAAAATCTGACATCGCCATTAAAGGCTTACAGTTACCAGACCAACAAACACACAGATTGTTCAAAATTAGAGTAAGTTGAAGGAGCAACATAAATTACCACCTGTTAGGGAAAAACATCAACAACAATACTAGGAACTTGAAACATTACTCGGTAAATATTTTCCTGCCAGAAATGCATCTTAATAGATCTCTCGCCATCAGAAGGTGTATGAATGATGGTTCCTCACTCTGGCAGTTTATTATTTACTTTCTGAACTTATTTTCCCCCGACTTCTAACAAGGAGATTCAAATATAACTAAGACATAATAATAATCATCTTGCAGTTCAATTTCTTTCTTCATAACTTCAGTCTTTAACTCTCCCGTAAGGCATCGCTGGTAGTAAGAACAGTAACACACTACAGTACTCACCGCTAGGAACCTTCCCATGTGAACTGTATCGTCTGTTTCATCCTTGAACATATCAAACAGCTGGTCCTCCACATTGATGGGCGTCACCCTGTAGAAGAGGTTAAGTGGGTCATACGCTTTTAGTATTATTATTATTATTATGAGTGTTTATTATTGTTTTAGTTATTATATTATTATTATCAATATTATCATTATTGCTGTTGTTACTATTATCATATGTTGTTACTATATTATTATCGTTGTATAATAATAATAATAATAATAATAATAATAGTAGTAGTAGTAGAGATTGTTGTTGTAGAATAATAATAGTACAGTAGTAGTCGTAGTAATAAGGGAATATATACATAACCAATAATAAACCAAACCATAAAAACTTGCCAAACTAAACCTAAACGCAGCTGCCCTACAGTATTACACCGTTAACTTATAGGTTAGGTTAGGTTGTTAATGGTGAATAATCAGTCAACAATTATCAACCAACATTTACCCATCCTCACCCTCGGGAATTAAAACCCCCTACAATACCTGAAAACAATCTATTTATCACAAGTACAGCGGGAAAACATACGAATTGTAAAAGGCTCGTACCCTTCCCCTTTAAGCTATACAGGAGTCGCCCAAGCAAGCCACCAACACCGTAGTTATATGTCTAAAAATAAATAAATAAATAAATAAAAAACTGACCAATATTATTAGTATTCGCAACAACAAACCCTGCTAACCTTCCTGCTACAGACGTCATAAATATAGATTTCACCATCATCAATAGCCCGGATTGTGATACGTGGCTGGTAATACTATGTTGAGATGGATGCGTTAGCTGTGACTATCTGATGGCTAGACTTCTCCCGGGTGCCATTACAGTATATGCAAATTTTGAAGCAGTTTTTTATTTAGTTAGTTTATTTTTTACGACCGGGTTAAGTTCCTATCGCCAACGTAATATTTACAGAGTGGGTACTAGGTTTTATTAATAAGTGGTGAGAGAGAGGATTTTAACGGGGGGGGAGATATCAATGGGGTATTAAGATAACGAGAGAGCTGGGCTGGGCTGGGAAGCAAAATATGGACAAATTAAAAAAAAAAAAAGTAAAGTTGTGTCATTAATGGGTTGTTTTCATGTTTCTTATACCTCCTGTTCCTCTTCTCTTCTCCCTCTCCTCTACCTTCCCTCCTCCTCCCTTTCCTCACCTTCTCTTCTTCCTCCGTTCTCTATACCCTCCCTCCTCCTCTCAATGTCACCTCACTCTTACCGGGATTAACTAATGCTGTTACGAAGCTCTCCTGAACGACCCAAGATTTGCTGTTGATAGCCAGTTAGTTCTTGACGACGCCAGACCCCTTAGTGTGGAGAGAGAGAGAGAGAGAGAGAGAGAGAGAGAGAGAGAGAGATGAAAGGTAGAAGGATGAAAGAAAAATAAAGAGAAAGTAAAGAAAAAAAGAAAGCCAGGCAGCCTCTTCATCAAAAAATATAATCCCCACCTTAACTTTTCAGCCCCGGCCTGTGTAAGCTTCTCAGAGCCTTGATGTATAATACTCTCTCTCTCTCTCTCTCTCTCTCATACTTTCTCTTGACCTAATTTTTTATCTCTTTCTATTCCTTTCTATCTCTCACTTTCTATCTCTCACTTTATCTTATTTTCTACCTCTCACTTTCTTTTACGTTATCTTACTCTCTCACTTTCTCTTACTCTTGTTTGCTCTTTCTCTCTCTCTCTTGCCTTTTACTCTTTCCCTCTTACTCTCTCACTTCCCTCACACAGTTTTAATCAATCAATTTTCTCTCAATTTCCTCCTTTAGTCTTGTTTATATCTTGAGGAGGAGAGAGACCTGTCAATTCTTCAGGTCCCCGTAGTCAACATAGGTCTCCAGGTCCCCGTAGTCAACATAGATCTCCAGGTCCCCGTAGTCAACATAGGTCTCCAGGTCCCCGTAGTCAACATAGGTCTCCAGGTCCCCAAGTAGTTAACACAGGTCAACAGAGGACGTCAACACAGGCCCCTCCTACTCATCAACACGGGTACCAGGTCATCAACACAGGTACCAGGTCATCAACACAAGTACCAGGTCAACACAGGTATGCCCTCATCAACACAGGTACCAGGTCATCAAGACAGGTACCAGATCATCAAGACAGGTACCAGGTCATCAAGACAGGTACCAGATCATCAAGACAGGTACCAGGTCATCAAGACAGGTACCAGATCATCAAGACAGGTACCAGGTCATCAACACAGGTACCAGGTCATCAACACAAGTACCAGGTCAACACAGGTATGTCCTCATCAACACAGGTACCAGGTCATCAACACAGGTACCAGGTCATCAACACAAGTACCAGGTCAACACAGGTATGCCCTCATCAACACAGGTACCAGGTCATCAACACAAGTACCAGGTCAACACAGGTCCGCAGGCATTTCCCTCCATCAACACAGGTCTACAGGTCCCCAATTCGTCAAGATAGGTCCCCAGGTCATCAAGACAGGTCCCAGGACGTCAACTAGTACCTAATGTCTTGAGGTTCCTCCGTAATATGGCGTAAAACCCTGCCACCAACGAGCGACACCCGCCTGCCATTGTCTGGGTCGGCGGGACACTAAAGTTGTCCTTCCACACGATCGCTGTGGCGTGGAGTGATGTGGTGTGGGGCGGTGTAGGGAAGGGAAGGGAAGGGAAGATTTTAGGAGCTCTATAAACCGTGTAGGTGACACTTTCAAGTTATCAAGGACATATAATTCTGTTGGGTGATCCACTGGAGGCGTCAAGTGGACAACTGAGCGTAACAGATCCTACTAGAGCCTGAGAGAGAGAGAGAGAGAGAGAGAGAGAGAGAGAGCCTTGAAACTATCCCACCTCCTCAAACTTCACCTGACGAAGTAGACTCGGGTAATCCTCCATGAGCCGCCTGAAGTCTCTACAGAATAATAAGGAGAGATCACCTCCAGAGCCGCGGTTGGTATCATTACTGCTCTAGGGGATCTACGAGGAACTAACAAGAACAGTCACCCATTTATAGGCCTCCGTTAGCCTCCGTCAGTCCCTCAGCCAACGTCAGCCTCTCTCTCCGTCAGCCCCTCAGCCTCCGTCAGCCCCTCAGCCTCCGTCAGCCCCTCAACCTCCGTCAGCCCCTCAACCTCCGTCAGTCCCTCAGCCTCCGTCAGTCAGCCTCCGTCAGCCCCCTCAGCCTCCGTCAGCCTCAGCCTCCGTCAGCCCCTCAGCCTGTCAGCCTCAGCCTCCGTCAGCCCCTCAGCCTCCGTCAGCCCCTCAGCCTCCGTCAGCCCCTCAGCCTCCGTCAGCCCCTCAGCCTCCGTCAGCCCCTCAGCCTCCGTCAGCCCCCTCACAAAACCAGGGACGACCCAAGACGATCATCAACCACAAGAAAGTTAAGAGTCGACGCGAGACAAGAAGCTCGCCAAGTCTGTTGAGTGTCGAGAGGCAAACCTGAAGGACATACTTAAATACTTCCTAGTGTTTACAGGAGTCAGGAGGAGGACGACGACGAGGAAGAGAAGGATGAGAAAGAGTAGGAAGATGTGTGCTGAACGAGGACCCCATGTTTATACAGCGTGACGTAATACCGCCCACTAAGCTTACCACACACACACAACTTCTGACGATCCTTGGGGTAAGCGCACACACACACACACCAGGATTAAACAAGTCACCCATCACATTCTTGCATATCAGAATACCACACACGCGTGATAGTGAAACAAGGCAAAGAAACACCGCAGTTTATGTATGCACACGTCCACCTCCCCCCCCCGCACACACACCACTCACTCCTACCCCCCCACACACACAGCACTCACTCCCACCTCCCCCCCACACACACACACCCCACTCACTCCCACCTCCCCCCACACACACCACTCTCCTCCCTCCCGGACACATAAGGACACGTGTAGAAGTGTCCAATACAATATATTCAAGACAAAGAAAATTGACACATATGAACTATAGACTTTTTGGAACATTGAATTTAACCCAACCCAACCTAACCTAACCCAACCCAACCCAACCCAACCCGACCTACCCAACCCGACCCAACCCAACCTAACCCAACCCAACCTAACCCAACCCAACCCAACCCACGTAAGACAGATCAACCCCGCCGTGTTGTGGGTTGAACACTGGATCATCTTTTGTCATTTAAGAAGGGGGAGTGGGTGGAATCTGGGGGGTTAGTTCGTGTTTAAGCGGATCTGTTGGGTGAATCCACTTCTCACTCCACTGTGACTATAACACTCACCCCCCTCCCCTCTACTCGTAAACCCGACCTAACTTAAACTATCTTAGGATCCTATGACGTAGATAAACATTAACCTAACTAATTTATTATTTACAAACAAACCAATTAGTAACCCCAGAAAATTTACCTTCAAAAAAATTAAATACAAAAATCTCTGCACTTGTGACCGCGGCATCGATGGGATAAAATGAACTCAAACTGGCGTAAACATCACCTAACGAGCTACACAATACGGCGCCTAATGAACAGAACACACAAGGGCTATATTTATTTAACATCGAGCAACTACTTAGGGGTAAATTACACGCACAGTCACGTAGTTGATTCTAATATTCATTCAATCGATTAATTGACGGTAAAATAAACGAGACATTATGTAAAGGAACGAAACACGTTATTAGAGCAATTGGTTAGTTAGGTTAGCTTAAGTTAGGTGAGGTTAGCTTAAGTTAGGTGAGGTTAGCTTAAGTTAGGTTAGGTTAGCTTAGCTTAAGTTAGGATAGGTTAGCTTAAGTTAGGTTAGGTTTGCGTCAGGTCAAGTTCCATATTAAAGAAACCTCCACACAGCTAATGACTGATTAACCCAGAGAACATCCAGGTCAGGTCAGGTCACTGTTGTGTAGTGTATAAGAGGAGGAAGGTCGGGGTCAGTAAAGGTGATAGGAGGGAAGAGAGGTCATTCATTACCTTGGCTCTCTCTCTCTACTCCTGTCTGTCTGTCTCTCTCTCTCTTCTCCTTCCTCTCTCTCTCTCTTCCTTACGGTGTCTCTCTCTCTCTCTTCTGACGTATAAGATAAGTGTACTGACGCAGAGTAAGTAACTACCCGGC